TCAATGAAAATTCAACCAAAACTTATCGTAATTTATGGGATACAAGGAAAGCAGTTCTCAGAGGGAAATTCGGGGCCAGGGAGATTGCTCAGTAAAATAAGCATTTGCCGGGCAAGTGCAAGGGCCTGAGTTCAATCCCTGGTTCCACCAAAAAAAAAAAAAGAGGGAAATTCATAGCTGTGAAGTCACACATTAGGAAAACAGAATGGGAACAAATAAATACCCTAATGCTGCACCTTCAACAACTAGAAAAGGAAGGGCAACCCAAACCCAGAGCCCAAAGGTGGGAAGAAATCATAAAGATTAGAGCAGAAATTAATTTAATTGAGACGAAGCAAACTATTCAAAGAATTAAAAAAGCAAAAAGCTGGTTCTTTGAAAGATGAAATAAAATCAATAAGCCCCTAGATAACCTCATCAAAAAAAAGAAAAAATTTAAATACAAGCAATAAGTAATAAACAAGGTGTAATTACCACAGACCCAGTGGAAATTCAGAATATTATCAGTAGCTACTTTGATGCATTCTTTTTTATATTTTTGCAGAACTGGGGATTGAACTCAGACCCTTGCACTTGCCAGGGAAGTGCTTATTCCACTGAGCCATCTCCCTGGCCCCTAGTAGCTACTTTGAGAATCTTAACTCTCACAGGATAAAAGACACAAATGAAATGGACAGATTCCTAGAAAGGTACAAATTACCAAAACTGAATCAACAAGATATAAGCATTCTCAATAGTCCAATAACAGCCAGTGAAATACGACATGTAATAAAGAACTTACCAACAAAGAAAAGTCCAGGTTCTGATGGATTCACAGCTGAATTCTAAAACAGATTTAGTGAACATATAATCCCTATACTCCTCAAACTCTTCAATGAAATAGAAAACGAAGCAATCCTTCCAAAATCATTCCTGGTCGGGCTGGTGAGATGGCTCAGTGGTCTAAAGCACCTACTTAGAACAAGCTTAGCAAAGCACAGGGACCGCGGTTCAATCCCCCAGCACCACATGCCAGCCACGCCCCCTGGTGGGCTGAACTGGCCACACACACACACACACACACACACAAATAAAGTTTAAAAAAAAAATCATTCCTGGAGACAAGTGTTACACTGATACCAAAAACAGGGAAAGATGCAACTACAAGGGAGAACTACAGGCCAATCTGCCTCATGAACATAGCTTCAAAAATCCTCATTAAAATCCTAGCAAATAGGGTGGCCTGCCCCTTAGCTCAGTTCTTTAAGTGGCTGCTTCCACAAAGCAGTCAGGCTCAGGTTGCTGTGGTTCAATCCCCAGAACTCAAACCAGCCAAACCTACCCTGAAGGCATTCAGAGCCAAAGAAAAAAAATCTTAGCAAATAGAACACAGCAAATCATCAAGAAGATCCTACCACGACCAGGTAGGATTCATCCCAGGGATACAAGGATGGTTCAATATTCAAAAATTTATGAATGTAATACACTATATCAATAGAGCAAAAACTAAAAACCACATGATTATCTCAACTGATACAGAAAAGGTTTTTCACAAAGTTCAACCCTTATTTATGTTCAAAGTCCTACAGAAAATTGGAACAGATGGCCTCTACTTCAATCT